TAATAATAAATATGCAGTGTATAGAATCTCCACTAAGACGTCGCTTTTCCAAAGGTTTATACATACAGAACATTCGTAATCTAGTCTTTATCCCTTTCGGGAAAATCATGAGTAGGAGGAAAGAAAGAAAAGTCCGGAAGAAAAGAAGATTACTTTGGCATTGCGCGGAGGAGTATTAAGGGCATGATACACGCCGCGGCAGCGTAGCGTGTAATGTTTTTCCCGTCATTCATATTCACTAAAAGAGTCGGCTGGTATCTGGCAGCGAAACGCGCGTAAAAACTACCGTAAATTCGAGTTATCCGCGTTATACTCGGTCGAATCAATGCGTTTCGCGTCGGCTGGGATTCCGATAACGTTGTTCCATCGGAATAACACCTGCCACTATTTTCCCCTGTTAACAAACTAGTTTCGTGTACAAAAATACGACTACCTTGCAGCTTATTAAAAACCGGAAGCTGCCTACTTTAGCGAAAGGATTCTATTGCAAAGCAATTAAGCAGTCGAGTGTATCGTAAAAGGTACAATCGTAAATAAAATAGTTGAAGGTGCAAATTTTTTTAGGTCTAAATTTTTTACGATAGCCGTCGAAATTAGTTCTCTGATATATTGAGACAATTCAAGCCTCGGAAAGTTTGTAATCAAGTATCGATCCTTCTGGGTTAATCGAAATTCAGTAATACAATTCGTAGATCCCAGGTGATCGAAACAAAAGGCAATGCAGCAGAAAATGGCGCGACCTTCTGTACGATAAAGCTCAACAATGGGCACCGCTATGATTCCAGCCACGATAGATAAGGAACACCTGACTTTCCACATTTGTTTCACCGCCGGTATTATACCCGGTTCTGCGGCGTACACCGCCAGTATATCTGCCGTCACGTTTCTGGTTTCGGACGATACAATCCGGATGCGAATAACGTCTGCTGGATGCGGAAACGACGACGTGTTCGGATAAACGCGCGCATTTAGACCCGTTATCGGATACACGTGTCCTAACGCGCATAAAACGAGCACAGCGTCTCTCGTCATTTGAACGCTATTTCCGGTAAGTCGCATAAAGCCATTGGAGGACCGCGAAGCCAAGAATGTGCGAGTAATTCCAAGTTGTCCCTTCAAGTCTTCTCTAAGTTACCGCAGTATAATAGTAAGGCGCATAATAGAGTTCTTCGGTTAATCAATTTTAGTTTTTACTGGAGCATAACAGGAGTTTTACTGAGTATAGATTCTGCCTGTTGGAAATTAGCAGTGGCTCATGATATTTAAATGCACGAGAACGGTTCATACATATTTATTGGAATTTAAAAAATTGCAGAATTTGAAGAATAATTTACATACTACGGAAATGATCAGCAAACTACTTAGAGGTCTGAATAAGTTTCACTTAATCATATTATATGTAGACAAATGCGCGTTGGTCGCATAAAAGCTGTCGGTCTTGGAAAACGTTTGCCGGATCATTTCATAGCTGGCTGGATCCGCGAGTAATTAAGTGTCGAGCTTTCCCAGCAGTCTCGTTGAGCGATTCCGATTCAAAGTTTCGACCGACAATATACACGGGCCGGAATACGAAACGAATTTCCCCGGGGCTGTTCGCGAGTACGCGTGGTCCCCGGAAAATAGCGAAGCCGAGATTCCTATTGCTAATGTTTGCCCCCCGCCAGCTAATAGCGAACGCGCTTTCAGGCACGTTCATCAGACGCCATTTTTGCAACAAGTTTACGCTCGGGAGCACTCTTATCAGGGATTTTCTGTATACCCGACTAACTTAGAGTTTCCTTGTCACCGTCTTTCAACGCCGAAGAACGGGGGGCAAATAACGGGTTAGATATAGTATAGAGAAAATGTTATTTCTCGGGCTTAACCCCGCAGTCACGTAGAGTGTTGCACTGTGGCAGAGATGGGGAAACTTTTTACCATTAGAAGCCAAATTTAAATTAGGCAGTAATAAAGGAGACCGCTATAAATTTTTATATTTCAGTAAATACTACTTCGAATAAAAATAATATTAGTAGAAATATGTTTGAATAAATTTATTATATTACAAAGTAGCAATTACATAAAATAATTTTAAAACACGATGGAAAATTCAAGTTAGTGGAATATTTGCATTTGTTTCTCGCTTGTACGTAATTGAATACATTAAAATATAAATAAAATTTGAAACCGACAAGGAGGCCGCACTATAGTATAAAATTGAGAGTTTCATAGCTACAATAAAATTATTTTATAATAATTTATATTATTTGTTCTAAGATATATGTTTGTATCAATACTACTTGTGTTACGTCTAATCGATATGAGCTAAGATTCCTATCAAGTCACGACTAGAAGAAAGTGATCGAAGCAATCGGTTCGGCATTGTCCTGTTGACCCGAGTGATTCGAGCAATTCTAGTTATCCGCATCCCCAGAAGACTCGATACGGAGTATTCGAATTCGGGTTAGCGGGTCCGTGGAAGACTATTTCCTCGAAATGCCGGGAGTGTCCGCATAGTGATTTCAAATGGAGAAGTCGGGGGACCGAGGTGTCTGACCGGAAGCGTGTCCGCGTCGTGTCACCCGTGAAAAGGAGTCTATTTTACATAATGTGACGCGGTACTCCAATCCTCTTCGACAGCACCCGCGCTCGCAGGATTACTTTAGAAGAGGACAGACAAGATAAAAAGTATATATATATAAAAATACACGACCCGATAGGATAGCACACAAGCCGGAAGTCCAGGATTTTCTCTCACGCAGCACAAAAAGCGAACGAATCGTTCCTAGGGACGCAGGCTCACGTCGTACGGTTTCTTTTAATTTTTTTTTTCACTCTACCTGTTTCTCCTTCGTTTTCGATGCATGCTAATTGACGAGCCGGTTAACCGCAACGGCGAAGTTGATCCTTCGACAAGCCGGTAAGGCGAATTGATGAAAGGAACAGGCGAAACATAATAAATGAATAAAACGGGGGACGTACGTCCCTTCGCTGTTATTATCGTTACTTTCTTTTCTCGTTGATACATCGTTACTATTTGTACATCCTTTCACGATCATCATTTGCTAACAGTTCAGACTTGTAGATCTCGAGAGCGAGCTGATTTTGTTTCCAGTATAGAATTTAGAACGAAGACGTTCATTTCCGTTTCTCGCGTGTTCATTAGGTAGAGTATTTATCGTTCTTTTTACTTTGGTTCTTTTCAATTACGTTCCAATTTGGTTTTTGTAGCGGTTTCGTGTATCGAACGATATTGATTATATTGTGCTCGTGTAATGCAACAAAATGTCTGTGACATATGTAAGAAGCATGCCGTTCGCGTAGTTAACGTTTACTGGTTCCGTAATTCGTTCTCTCGTACGATTTTCTCCGCCTACCTTTACATTCTCTATTTAATTATACATATACGAGCAACTTGGAATGACGATGGAAAGAATGTTGAGAGTTAACGTTTCTATATATTATATATATATATATATAACTGTTTTGTGCCTCGAGATTTATTGCGTGTTTTTTCATCAATTTACAAGTTATACGTTCTTTGAGCTAGCGTACCGTTTGCGTTGTTTGTACATTGTTATACGAACCTTCATTATTACATTACATATGTTTACACGTATATTTTTCACTTGGAATGATGCCTGCTCGTGTTTTCATATTTTTCACAGAGAAGAAAAAATAAAAATAAGAAGAAAAGTATAATTCTCTTGCATGAAACACTTTACCCCGTCCAATTACGGTATATATACTTTTTCCCGTTGAATTTTTCCCGACGAATGCTCGTCTCTCGTTTTAGTGACGCGAATCAATGAATTCGGTTCCTTTGTTAAAGCACTTTATGCATTATTTTCCATTTTTATCCGGGCTCTCTTTGGTTGAGAGCTACACCTTTTAGTTCGACGTTTACAAATAAGTTTCTATGAAACGAGCACGATTTTATTTCAACAAGAAGTTCGTTCGACGCACGCTCTTTTCGTTTCCGTTCTTACGTTCACTATTTTTGGTAATCGCTGTTATTCCTCGTAATTAATTCCTTTGATTGAAACAACGAATGAGTAAACATCGTACTACCCTTCCGAGTACGACATCGTCAATTCAAGTAGTTTAAACATCGGTTCTGTTGACACGCTCACACACACACACACACACATACACACAAGTACATGCACACAAGTTGTTGTTACACTCTTAGCGATGCGTAAGTATGCATTCAACTAACATTCGAACCCGTTGAAAATGCATGGAACACGAATATATTTGCGCGGTTACAAAACGCGACGCAGCAAAAAATAAACGTAGCAGGTAGACGCCATCCCATATTCTCGATCCTCGTCGAACAAATCAATTATCACTTCACGCTGAATCGGCAAATCGTGTCTCTTTGTTAATTATAAAAAACCAGTGTTGAGTCCAGGTTCATAATTAAATGTGAATAGAAAACTGATTGATAACAGGCAGAGCAGCATAGACTCTTTGACCGAAACGAAATCTTCCTGTTTAATCCCATTTTCTTGGAATGTCATTTGTGCTGGCATGAATATTTATCTCAATTTTTATAATCAAGTCCTTACGAATCCTATTTTTAATTAGTGAATTGGTAAAAAGACGTTTGATCTCTGAAGAAGTCTTACGAAACTCTTCCAAATGCACGTGTTAAGTCCTTCTTAAAACATCTAATACTACAATCCTTCAGGTAAAATAGCTTATCGTAGTTAGACACCTCGCATGAAAGCCAATCCTGTCATCCTAATTGTAAGAAATTAATAAAAGACCGGCCATTACAAGAATTCTATAAAACAGCTCTGCTTCGTTCCGAAAGCACTTAGTATTACAATAGAATCTGTCCAAGTGTTTAATGCTTGACAAATGATTAAAGCGAGATAAAGCAGTGAGTCAAATAGATTTGATGAGACCAGAGATGATCTGTCAGCCTCAGAAGCGACGGTCGACGAGGATCGCGAGATGGGTATCAGTAAAGAGATTCGCCTGAAGATTTTAAGCCAATTGGATCGTATTTTTAGTGCCGCCGCGGTGGACGGTGGAACCTATCGACCAGAACGCCGTTGTAGGTCACGGCGTCTCCATCGCCTGTCAGGCTGAGGGATTTCCCATTCCGACGGTGACTTGGAGGCAATCGATCGGTAAGTCACGAAACCACCCCAATGCGGTATCCCGAAAAACCATCTGAACCATAAACCGCGAGACATACGTCTGGCATCGATCCTCGACGTTGATACAATTAGTCTCACCGCAAACGATATTCCCTTGTGCCTTTGTACCATTCCTTTCAAAAGCTATTTGAATAATGTTATAAGTTATTCCTCCGTATTTGATTATTCATTCAATGAAGCATAAAATTTTCGTGAAAGTTCCACTGCATTATCTTGAAACATAATTAATTATTGTTATTATTGCTGTTTAATAAAGGAACATCAAGGGATTGTTCTCTCTGTCATCTATTGACGTTCATGCCAATATTGCTTTAAATAAAAGTTGATCCGTACACGTTTCTTATCTTCTCTTATCTGTCTGGTATAAATTCGTTCTACTGTCGAGAATTTCTTTGTAGGAAAGAAATTCATGATGCATGGTTCACTTTGAGCGAGCGAACTGCCTTTCGAGTTCGATTTCATTTCCTGTTGCAGCCTCCTTACTTTTAATAAACTCTCGCTTTGATGGTTCATCATTTTTTGCCCTCTGCACGAAACTCGCGTCTCCTGGTATACGGAAATCGTGAATCCTTGTTAGTAGCTCATATTCGTTCGAGGGAGGAAGGTCTCACGAGTCCAGGACTTTCTTGTTCAGCTTTGCCTTTCAGTGGTTTCGTTTAATTAGCAAAATCCATGTCGCGGAGCTTTGGTGCCAAATATGTTCCAATCGTGAGGAATAGGAACACTGTAGGCTCATTAGTCGGTCGTTATTGATCTCAGAAATTCTTATTTCTATCTCCGTTGCAAAGGGTTCAATAACTCCTGACTGTTTCACGAATGCCATCGATCGGTTCTCATCGAGTTACAGCTGCCGGGTGTATTTAACCCCGGGTTGACAAAGAGATCCATCAGAAATTTCGCTGATCGCCGGTTTCCGGCGGTCTCTCGTTCAATCTGAAATAAGCTCTCCGCACGATGAAGCGGTAGTACAATTAGTTTCATCGGTTCGTTGCTCGCGAACATCATATTACCCAGGAACCAAGTTCCTTCTCTTTTTCGCATCTTCAACTCCGGCCTCGTTTCACCAAAATTAGACCGCTCTTCAATCCAAATAATGGACCGCAGTATCAATTCCTTCTTTTTCATGTCGATATTTTAATTATCAAAAAACGTTTGTTAAAATGTATTATAAATAAAATTGTACGAAACACAAAATGCGCACCTGATCTCATGTTTTAATTTGCACAAAAGACCGTAATAAAAAATCTAATGTCGACGGTTTTAAGAATACAATATTTGGATTCATTGGAAACTGGGAAAGTACTTGTCAACTTTTCTCTTGGACATTTACCAGTTTCCCCGGTGTGTATTGTATCGGAAAGAATGTCGGATGACGTTGATCCAGCACGATGTACCATTCCCATCGTCGAAAGAAGGAAACGACATTGTGAATTCCAACGAATCTTCCCTGCCGCGGTGATCTCGCGGTAGAAAATTCTGTAACATTCATAAGAGGATATTTCGCGAACCATGGAATTCGTTCGAAACATACCGGAACGAGTTCCGCTAGAAAATGTTTAAAAATCTCATGGTTATGAAATTCGGTTTAAAGAGTATGTCGAATATTGTTCGACAGAAACGCTCGCGGTTCGTCGGTTCTCGCAAAGAATTAATTACTGCCACGTCTAGTTTGTAAAGTGGCTGACAAACCGAGCATCCTGTGAAACCGCAGCTTGACTCACAAAGCCTCTCCTCTGTTTATCACGAGTCCCGATAATAAACGGGAGGTAGACGGAGAATTAGCATAGCGGGTCACGTTAGACGAGTAATACATAGCTTGTTCCCGGTGCTACACACAGGCGATACACCGGGCGACTACAGAGAGCTGGGATATAGCGGCACCGAGGGAGCAGGGGTTGCTGGGAACGGGTCTCTGGCGATACCACGGGTAACCAGAGATCACGCCGGGTTCTACCTATGCCAGGCGAGCAACGGGATCGGTCCCGGGCTCAGCAAGCTCATTCAGCTAACAGTCCACGGTAAAATATTCACGCAACACTGGGTTACTCACCGCACAGCCTGGAACCTGGAAGTGTGTCAGTCCCGCGAACTTAGAATTCCGGCCACGAGCCACGGAATTCTTCGTCCCGAATTTTTCCGCCATCCGTGGAGGACGCCTCCCGGAGGCGTTACGCTCCGTTTTCCCTGAAAACACTACGCGATACGATCGACTGGCTACAACCCTCCAGTTCCCAGACCGATTTCTGCTTTAATTTGGACAATCACTCATAACAAGTCCGCAGTTTCATCGCTTAATTGAGCCGAGCTCTCTTGAGATGTAATTACAGATAACTGAAATCGTACATAGCAACGTTGAAGGGTCGATGCGTTCCATTCTGCATTTTTTTATTCATTTCCTTTACCAGCTATAAATTCGAGGGAAATGTAAAACGTATTTGACCTCGCGTAAAAAAGAAATTAATTTATGCAACGCCAAAACTCGAGTATTTATCGTTCGGTATACTGGTTGAATTTAATGTAGTTACAAAAACGTTTCGATTTCCCGAATGTAATATCATTCTGTTGTTGCTTGAAATTAAATTTGCAATTAAATTGTTCTATAATTCTCTGCGAATTGGAATAATGGATCAAAATATCGAATAGAAGTCTGTTGCGCGGGCGTGGCGTTTCCCATATCGTAAGAATTGAAAGGGAAGGATTAATAGTATTGATTATTGAATTGTATGAATTCTCAGCGGGTCCGCAGGTATCGGTGAAAACGCGTCAGGAATCAGTGCGACGAGGAGAGAGCGTGACGCTTCGCTGCGAGGCCGAAGGAGACGCACCCCTTGATCTGAGCTGGCGTGCGCGTGACAGCCGAGTCGATCCCAACTACGATGTTAGGTTTGTATCGAAATTAATCAAGCCCCTTTCCACCCTGCCGGAGCTTACGGTGGATGAGAGTGACACTTCGATCTCCTATCGATTGACGGGGCCGCGGTTTAATTACTATGCGAGTATCTCGCGGGTGGGACACAAAACCTGATCAACGCGTCAGCCGTCGGGCGGTCAAACGCGGAGACGTTTGAAAAATTGCTGGAAATTTATCAAATGATTCAAGAGTATATATTAGACGACGCTGTGTCTCGGGCGAATTTCCTCGAGGGAATCGCGAACGCGGTGGATCCCGTCAGTTCCACTTCGCGAAGCGTGTGACTGAACGTCATAGTTGGAGAGTTCCCCGCGAAACATTTTCCCAACAGCTCGCTCAGCACAGCTCGCGGCGCGACGGCGTGCTTCGCCTTCATTACGGAATTATTCGGCTCATCCCTCGTTACGTCGCCTAACTTCTGCTCAAGCGAAATTGCCACAGACAGGATTCATCGATAACTCTCCTCGAATATCTATGAAATTTCGTGGATTTTAATTGAGACGACGAGGCGGGCGATCAATCTTGGTGTACACCGATAAAATGCATGTTCGTTGCACCGCAGGTACACGATAGACAACCAGAAGGTGTCCGGCCGGGTGATTTCCGAGCTGCGCATCATCCAGGCGAACCACATCGACCGGGGGGACTACATGTGCGTGGCTACGAACGCTTACGGTCACGCCAGGGCGACCATCAACCTGCTCGTCCAGGAGCCGCCGAATTTTCCCCGGGATTTACACATTGCCGAGCAAGGCAGCAGATCGCTGCTGTTGGCCTGGTCGTCGCCGTCGAGCGAACAGGATCCGGCCCACGCGAACTCGCCTATAACCAACTACATCGTGCAATACAAGGAGGCGCAGGGTAGGTCGCACGTTTCGCTTTGTCCCGCGTACACACTGCCGATGTATCGGATGACACGCGCGATTATCGATCGAGGATGCCTGTCCATCGTTTCGAAGCCTCCCACGAATCCAAACCGGCACGCGGTGGGATACTCGAGTCGCAAACGAATTCTCTGATTGAATGCACAAAAGAAAATCGGAAGGTGATAATTGGTATTGCTGCTCTTTAATACTGGAGCACAGCTATATTTAATTGGACCACCAAATAATAGAATTCCTGCACAAATGAAATATTGATTGATACAAGAAAAGTTTGCAGATTTTATAAATTCATCATTCACCCATCAGAATTACGCAAACACATATGCAGTTTCATTATCAACCAGTTTTTTATTTTTCACGTTTTGATAAACGTTCTCCGTGCGACGGAGTAAAAGGATTGCTGTTTTATTTGCTCGTTTGGCTTTGGTTAATTAAAGTTCGATTCGATTGATATCGAATTTAATTGGTGGTCCGACGTTACAGTTCTGTTTAATGGAATGGAAATGAGGAGGTCACTGGGCCGTGCTTCCTACGAGGTTGCAGCTAGCTCCGAGATAGAGAGGCGTGTCTCGGAAGCGTGTACCGTGCCCGTGACTCCGATTGATCGTGTCCGAATACGCGTTGGATCCGTGGGCTTCGTCAGATTGGCATTGAAGATCGCTCGAACTCATTATTGTCACTAACTTCGCACAGCCATACATTCCTTGGCGTTACACAACGTGTCCACACCATCCTCCAAATTTTTATCTGAATTGGAAAATGGATAAATAAACGCTGGCGGTTTCGAGTCGAAATGGCAATCATTATCAATTAATTTGTGAACGTGCATAGAAGTTAGTCTATCTCGTATAAACAAAGGGTGATATTAATTTATTCCATCAGTCTGGAGACCACTAGATTTTACTCTAGAGGTTAGTAACACGGCGCACGGCTGTCTACGTGTCTCACAACGAGATGAAAGCTGAGACTCCAAGGGAAATAGATATGCCAGCGTTGTTGGATTATAGTCTGCCTAACTTCGAAAACCAGAGAACCCTTTCACACAAACCAACGTGCCTCGAACTTGAATACCTGAGGACGATGTTAAATTTCGGTGAAATCTCGGAATGTGATTAGAAGAAATCTGAGAATTCTCTGAGGATCTTAACCCACTTCGCGGACTTGGATAACTGAATCTTTATGTGGCCGCGTGATTTATCGCTTTAGTATCCGCGCGAGGAAAAGGACTCCCTGAAAGCTTCTTTGGAATTCAAATAGCAAGCTCGTGACGCTGTTACCCAGCGCGTCACCGAGATCCATCTTAGTGTTCCTGACTTTACCTGTGTCGTTTGGTTCATAACGATTTCCGGGGACGCGTCAAACTTATTTCCATTTCACTCGATTGCTTTCTCGTTACTTCAATTCTGTCCCATTTCGTGGCTTGGTTGTATTCATTTTTATCAGAATTCGATTACCGTTTGTCTATTCGAAGCGAAACACCGACACGAAATGAAGAGGTGCGTATAGATTTTTAGATGAGAAAAATAGATTACAAGGATCTTCACGTAACATTTATGTTACTAATTCCCTAGAACACATTACATTTTCATCAATTTCCAACTTGAATCAACTTAATAATGCATCTATCTAAAAATATCGCAGATGGATAAAAGAATAAATCATGGTAGACACTTTAAAAAAGAAAAAAAGATTTCATTAACGTCTGCGACAGTATTTATTTGTACTCCGTGCTTACACGAACTTCCTCGACTCCTCTATATTTTAATTGCTTTCTATCCGGCGCGGTACAATCGCCGTTTCATTACAGGCTAGGTCTCGGCGTCGGAAGGAGTTTGATTCGTAATATCTCGACCGGTGCCACATTAAGACTCCATTATTGGACTGTCAGGCTGGATCTCAAGTTTAATCAATAGCCCAGCTCGGAGGCAATCGTTGGGAATGAAATTATAACGCAATATGGCAAACAATATCTAATCAATCGAGGAGGTGGGATCGTTGTTTCTTTCGTATTGATTCGCTGATTGGACACGGATCCAACCGCGAGTTTCCTCGAGCTTCCGTCGAAACTAAATGAAATATTAAACGATCCTACGAAATCCGGCCAATTCGCGTTTTTACATTTTAATGGAAAAATTCATATCAGTACGTCAGTTGCGATCTTTGCTCGAAAGTTTTTCAATTTTCACGAAAGCCTGGTCTCCCGTGGTTTCGTCGACCGAACGAATTGTCATCGATGGTGGACCCAGCGGCCCGTTGTGTTCGAGGTTATTTAATTACGCCGCGTGGAATGACCTGTTTTTTCCTTCACCGAGTTAGGGTGTCATATCGAGCGAGGGGCGGTTCACGATTTTCATAGGAGCGAAAGGAAGTCGAAGTTTGCCACGAAGTCTTCGCCTCGCTCTGTCTCTCCCTTTATTTTCGCGTCGGAAAGTTCCCTTTGAAAGGCAGACCGAACCCCCCCTCGCACCTCGCGGGACCGCCGGGCTGGCCGCTCCCAGGATCCGATCCCTCGTTAACTTCGGATGTCCTCATTTACGCCTAATCGACTCGAATCGCCTGGCCGCCGCTAAATTATCGAACTTAACACATGGAAGGACGGAGGCGCGGTGTGAACGCAACGTGAAACACGTTTTCAGGGCAAGCACCGAGTCGGGAATTCGTTAGCACGGGGGGAAGGGACCTCTTCTCGCCGTGATCGATCGTGCGAACGTGATTTTTATTTCAATTATTTTACGATATTCCATGTAGAAAAAAAAAGATTGGAGCTGTTCTTTTCACGTTACATTCCAGATAGTATATAAATAATTCCCAATTCCGAACTGCCTCGTCAGTGAAACGCAATTCACATTCGAGAGGGAATGTAATAAAAAAAAAAAAAAGTGGAACAATACGTAAAGTGAGAAATATTGCATTTTTCGTTCGGTTAAAATGGAGCGCACTTGATTAACTTGTTTGAAGCTTGGGAACACGCGTCGTCTGCGCCCCCGTCGAACTCTACCCTTTGCGGGCCAACTGCACTTTCGCACGTTCGATTTTTCGACTGCTTCGAGGCGGATTACTGCTACCCCGTCCGTTCGTGATACCAACTAATTCTCCCGAGCTAACTTTATTTCCTCTCCGCGTTTCTCTCGTCCTATTGTTTTCCGAACAATAAAGCCATTTGAACAGAATCGATAGAATCCAGTGCAAGAATCGTGACCTTCGTCTACGCGAAAGTACAGATGACATTCGAACACGCGTTCAAGCAGACGTCGGTCACGGATACACGGAATTTAAATTGAATTCGCGAGAGTTTCATCCGGGAAGTTAGCACAGTTCGCGGAAGTTCCCTGAAATATGATTATTACATCTTCATCGTAAATTCTGTCTCGCCGCGAGCCAGCGAACGCGGTTTAGTCTGCGCCAGCGTTTCGTTTTCCCGAGGCTAGCTAGCTCGCTTAGGAAACGGAGGGTAGCTCTGTAACCGTCTCCGGGCGACGTTTCGCGTGTCATAAATCCGTCGACTATCCACCCAGCGATGCACAAGCCCTCTAAGCGTTGTCGTTGCATTTTGCTGGAAAGACGTGTGGCATGAGCACAACACGCAGAAGATGGTGTCGGGGGACAACACGGTCGCGCTGATTTCGCCACTAAAACCGGCGACCTCCTACCACTTTCGGGTGCTTGCGGAAAATCACCTTGGAACATCAGCGCCAAGCGACATCCTTCATGTCAGTATCATTTAACAAGAATTCATTTCATGGTATTCATTCACCCGCGCGAGATCCGCGTTCGTTCATTTACATCCCGCCTCTATGTTCTTTGAATCATGCGAACACGACTGACGGTGACGACAACAGACCCAGACCGAGGGCGAGATACCCAGCGGACCGCCCAGGCACGTCACCGTGGAGGCGTTAGGACCCCAGCAAGTGAAAGTCACCTGGCAGCCGCCCGATCGATCCCTCTGGAACGGGGAACTTCTTGGATACACGATCAGCTACGCCAATCTCGGGTATCGTTATCCGTTTACGGCTGTTTAGAATAGTTCCTACCGCGGGATCCACGAATTACGAGAGAAGGGAGACTCGGAAAGGATCTACGTCGATTATCGCGACGATTCCGTCGACAATGGCTCGACGATCGGTTCGCTACGCGGATAATAGCACCGCTTTGTTCTCCTGTCCAGTAACAGATGTTACTTGGATAGCTATTCCCTTTTCACTTTTCAAACGAGTAGTCCAATCTCTAGTTTCTATCGTTTACAACAGCTCGCTCACATCTAGTAATTCGTTTCTTGTTTCCGCTTACTAATTTATCACTTCTTTATTTCAATCAGTGAAATACATATAAACGTAATTGTTTAAAATTATTGAAGAACTTGGATGATAATTTTGAATCATTAATCGAATTCGTCGTTCGTTATCAAAATTCTGGATTGTAATTCTTGAAGAAGTCTGCTCTGATTTAGGAGAAGGGAATTTCATATCAGCTCCGCGGGGAGTTGAGTTCGGGGAATCAGAGAACCATTTTTCGCTCCAGTTTCCACGGGATGGGTTTAAGTATCGGCGAGTTCCGCGTTCCTTCTCTCGCGTTTTATCTTTCCGCCTGGAGGAACATCGAGCTTGGCTTTCTTTCAGAGGGAATGATCAATCGGTGAACATCACTAGAGTGGGAATCACCGGTAACGGGGACGGCTCCTACGATTATAAGCTAACCGGGCTTCGAAAGTACACCCAGTACAGCATAGTAGTGAAGGCGTTCAATAATAAAGGCGACGGGCCAGGATCTGACCCGGTGACTGTGCAGACCCTTGAAGACGGTGAGCCAATGCTATCAAAGCTTGTTCCTTCCTTTTTAATTTTCTGTTTATCTATCTATTGTGTTCGGCTCGCTGCGAAGAATGGTTTTCAATTTGGCCTCGGAGATCTGAAACTTTTTCCAGTTGCACCACATTTTATATTAGATTTTCCTCCTCGTCGAGCTTTAATATACAGACTAAGGAATATTTCGAATTCTCGAGCAGGATTTATTAGCGCAAGCATAGGAACTAATTGAACATACATTTGCTCATTGAGGTGCAATATACTGCTGGAAAAAGATCGTGACAAAGAATAAATCGTATACCTCGCCAGTTTCCGTTTTAATATACAGCGCCTTCTCGCGCGCTGATGAGGCCAGAGCTTTATGCGGTGCGACGAAACGGCGAAATTAATTTCAGCGAGAGCAGTTTACACCCGGAAACCCGCAATAACACCCTGAGGGCGTAAAAAAATTTTGCATACATGGGATGTATATCGTAGGTCAGGCCTCATTACACACTCACTCTTTCTTTTTTATCACCGGGTGACCTGTTGTTCTAACTTGTTGAGTTTTGGCTACGCGAAATCCTTCTTTTTAAAAAATGAAAGCCAGACTGAATAGCTGAAAAGAGTTAAGGTTCGTTACAGTCTTCGTTATTAGTCTTAGTTATTATGTGATCATACAAAGTCTTCATTATTATTAAATTATNTTGCAATTCATAAGCTATGGAATGTTGCTTACTCGTTCTTATTGATTACTTTTTATATGAAATTTAATTAATCCGCAGCGTTCTTCTTCGCTTGTTTATATCAATGATATTTATTAATTAAAAATTAACTCGATTTATGACAAAAATCTTAAAATATTTAAATGCTTGCAACTGTGCGGAACTTTGGAATGTTAGGTATAAGCATGAGATCCGTCGCAGACTCGCGTGATTTCCGCGGTCCATTCCTCAGGAACAATGGCGCGGCTTAATTGCGCGGTTTCCTTTGCCGGTACTCGAGGAAACGGTTACGGTACATTTTCTAAGCCCGTCGTTTAGTAACGATCTTACATACGAAACTGCATTAATTCAACGTGAAAACCCGCAACAACTCGTTACGGCGGTAGAATTTTAAATAGGATCAAATTCTTGCGGCTGTACGTATCCACCTACGCTGTCGGAAAATGTTTGATGACCGCGTTCCAATTTCCCTCTAGTTTCACAGATAGCAAAGAATCCGAGACATCCAGCCATCGAACTACGGACCCAAGGAATTCCCTTTTGTATTCTGCAAAAAACCACCGACCGAATCCCTTTGTACGACACGCGTGCCTCGCGTTTCTGTCGTTCTTTTACGTTTGACACTTGATTTAGGAAGTCCCTCGGTATTATCCAACAGAATTTCATAAAGTAAACACGTACATGTAATATTTTCAGATAATAAATTTAGAAAGTCCGATTATTATCATTGTGAACGAAAATTTACTTGGGAATTTCTCTATCCGAGAATCTCGTCTGTCCAATCAGAGACTCCGCTCGAGATCGATTCGTCCATTCACCCAATCGAACTTAAACAAGCGAATGCCTTCTGCAGGGATCACTTATAAAAATCTAAATTGACCTATTCCATCGAAGGTTCCTTAAGAATCTCGTCGATTGAAAACACGGAAACGATCCACTCGGCATTCGCTTTTTGTCACCCGCTCGAATTTCTCCTCGAAACTGAGAACTCTTCTACAGCTACGTCGTTTGTCACAGTAACCGGACCTACACAGAACTTTCCATCGTCCCGCCTTCGCTCGAATTTCCAGAGACACGAATTCATTTTCACCTTTCAATGTACATACCATGATCATTTAAAATTGAATCAAAATAGCAACGAATCGAGCAGAAGTATTCTCAAAATCGTTTTATCTCTACGCCATTTGCATCACATCGACCAATTGGTTTGTACAATGACTGTCGTAATGTTTCATACAATAATTTTTATACTAATTTGCACTACTTTACTTAGAATGGTTATTACAATATTGATATAGTAATTGATAGAAATGATTGATGTAACACAGTAATTAACAGATCTATAATGATACTTGATGATAATGATAAAGAACTGAACGTTGATAGTGCAAATGTGTTAATTACATTTCCTCGACCGTGAAACGAATTTATGGTTACGACTGTGACGCAGTTCCAAGCGCCCCTCCGCAGACCGTAGCGTGCGCGGCGCTAACCGGGCAGACCATTCAGGTGACCTGGAAACCACCGCCTTCCGACAAAGTTCACGGGGTCGTGCAAGGCTACAAGTTGCTGTACGAGGCGGCCAGCGCGGTCCTCGAGCAGCAGGCGGGCAGGGAGACGAAGATCGTCCATGCACTCAGCACGGTGCTCCACGGTTTGAGCCCGTACACGAATTACACGGTACAGGTGCTTGCGTACACAAGGGCCGGCGAAGGTGTCACCAGTAGCCCTGTATCCTGCACCACCGAAGAAACTGGTAAGTCGTTTACAGATTTTATAAGAAAATTGCATGTTGCAAGAATTGCAAACGCTGTACGAAATTATTTAGACTGTCAGAAATGAATAAAATAAATGATTAAAATTTTACTATCTTAGTCATAAATATTTACTTGTATCAAGATTTAACAAGTGAGAAGAGTAAGTCGTGGAGAAATGTTGTCATGGGAGTGGAATCCCGTTGAGATCTTTTTGAGAGATCAATCGTCGCCTTACGGCAAGTTATCATTGACGGTAGATCAATATATTCAGGGAATTGTGGGTCACTTTTCATCTAGTTTTAGACAGGATTCGACCAAGAATAGAACGGTTGGCCAGAGAACTAGAATACTGGGTTTATTGAAACGTTAATGAGTCGTTCGCGACATCGGTGGAGGTATTATGTTATTAAGCTTCTTGGAACCGGCTGCAATGGAACGCCTATTCCAATTCTAATTTCCAAAGTTGAGAGCGTTTCTACTAATTATCCATCTCATTTAGCTCGTGATCAGACTTTCTAGATTATTAAAAACGTCAAATAGAACGCATCGAGAAACGAAATAAAAATATTTAAAGGGATTTGCACGTGGAGCCGAGAATTTCTCGCTGAGCCGAATGCGTCTCGAGTGGCACGTACGGTTGAAACCAGAACCGGAGGAGGCCACTTGCAGTTGGCGAATTGCAGAGAATCACTTAACGAGTACGGCGAAACGGGAACTGAAAGAGTCAATGACAGAAACTTTAACGCGCCTTTGAAGTAGCATAATACGGGTTTTCCATTAAACGCACGCGTTCCCGTTTGGCGCGGCCGAAATTTCGCGAAATGGGTCGCGAATAATTGTATCGCGAGATCCGTAATAAAGCTTGAACAACGGGACTAGGCGCGGCGTAATCGAAAATTCGTGTATCATGAAGAAAACTCCGACCGGTGGAATTTGTCAACAGCAGGAACTCGTTGCTACCCGTCCGTTTCGTTGTTTCGTGTCACGGACAGCTCCAATGTGCACGCATAATATTTAACTGCTTGTCAATGAGTAAATAAATTAAAACGAATGTCCCTTCGGAGTTAAAAAGGTTTATATATATTATATATAATTAATATATATATTTATAATAATAATTAACATATGATATATAATAAATAATAATTAATACATGATATATAATAAATAATAATTAATATATAATAATAATATTATATGTAAGATGTTGGTTTATATAAAAAATAATTATATTGACAGTTTCTCTCTTTTTCTTGTTTTATATTTGCATCGCGCAATATCTTTTGCTCGCAGTTCCAGATGCACCGGAGCGGGTGAAGGCTGTGACTAGCAACGAGGACGCTGTGGTGATATCCTGGCTGCCTCCTCGGAGGCCGAACGGTATCCTAACCAAGTACACCGTGCATATCCGGGTGTTGGACCAGGGCCAGGAGGTGAAGATCACTAAAAGCTCGCTGCCTGCGCAGAGCTTGCACCACGAGGCGACCGGGTTGAAGCTGCGCGAGTCCTACGAAGCCTGGGTTACGGCCTCGACCAAAGTGGGGCAAGGGCCCAGGACTCCGGTCATCAAACTTCAGCTGAGCAGCACCGGCAGTACTAGTAAGTCCAAGAAACTTTTCATCCTGGATTACAAACGTTTCTTTCCACTTTCTTGCCTTTTCCCATGTACCTTCGACCAGGGACATAAATTTCTTCAAATATTAATTCACATTTTTCATGTATCATGCAGGCATTATTATTAATTCTCTTTGAACTATGTAATCTTCTGCATTTCTCTGTTTTGCCGAATATGTAATATATCTCTTGTTAAATATATGCACATATATTCCTATGTGATCGTTAATAGTTAAAGAGTAGGCTGATCTGTGGGACGAGTTTTGAGCTCGTTTCGTACGAATGGGATGTTTAATCGATGCCTCGTTTCGTATGACTCGCGTTTGAGTTGATGGAAGTTAGAATCTGCCGAGCGAGGACTGTGCCAATACTGAGAAATTCTGTATTTTAATCGTTGTTCGCGTTCGCCGCCAATGATTGAAATCACTGCGAGTTTCGTTCCTCGAGTGACCTGTTAAAAATTGCCGGCGCTCGCTCCGGGAAACACGGGAGTTTGTTGAAAGCCGGAGGGGTGGCACGATGAACGGCGGAAGTTTCGAAAGCTGAACTCAAACACGGATCATAGCTAGAGGAAGTTTAACGAAGAGCAAGGATAACTGGGACTTTTAATTAGTTCCAGCAGCTATAATATCGTTCGGAGTGCCGCTCGTGGTGCCGTGGAGGGTGGACGTCAATATGGCCTGTCTCGCCGTGGGTAATCCGCCGCCGACGTTGGAATGGCGCCGCGGCGACGTCAAACTGCAGCAGAGGTAAGTGTGAAACGTTGCTCTCGATCGGGCAGTCGAGTGTGCGATCATGGATTTCCCGTGGCAGATCCGACATCGGGCCGGACAACACATTGACGCTGAGGAACGTGCAAAGGTCCCACGAGGGCAACTACTCCTGCCACGTCAAGAATTCCCTCGGCTCCGACGAAATCGCCTACACGCTTCAAGTACAAGGTATCGAAAAACAGGAATGATGCGTATAAACGAATGTCGGTTAACGTTGAGGTGCGTTCTGTGGCGAACTTTCTCGCGTCGCGTATTACTGCGGGAATAAAACGAAAAAATCAGCAACGGCTTCGAGAACGGTTCGTTAAAAGTTTCGCGTAACCATTTTCCGTCCCACTGGTCGCGTCATTATTCTCTGTCAAATAATTCACCCTCCTAAACGAACGAGTTCTGATACATTCAACCGAATACAAAATCAATTAATACAATTTCGTCTGTCGTTCACGCATGATATCGATTACCTGCGTACTGAAATCGTTTCACTGAATTACCTTAAAATTCGTCGGGAATCTCATCTACCGTAAATTAGAAATTCCTAGCAGGTTCTCAGCGAAGTTTCATTAGCATTAAGGGAAACAGGTTCTCGGCTCATTGTTCAGCGCGATTAATCAGCCGTCAGACATTCCCGGGCGATCAATCCAAGCAACGTAACTTTGCTTAGTGCCGCCGACGCCGCCGACTTTGCTCGCCACCGGCACGACCACCGACGCTGTTCAGCTGCAGTGGAAGCAAGGCGACAATGGCGGCGCGGCCATAAGAGGCTTCCTGTTGGCCTACCGCCGGGAATTCTCCGAGTGGGAGGAAGTGATGCTGGACCGGAAGGCCACCACGCATCTTTTGGAAGGTTTACAATGCGGAACCAAGTACCAGTTCACTCTGGCCGCGTTCAACAGAATCGGTAGCGGGAGCGCCAGCAAAATAGAAACCGTCAAGACGAATGGAACGAAACCCGTCGCGCCGAAGAAGCATCAATTGATCAAAGTTAATCAAACATTTGTTACCCTCGAGTTGAACTCTTGGCAAGACGGTGGCTGCCCTCTGTTGTACTTCGTGGTGGAGTATAGAAGATTGCCCGGCGATTGGTTACTCGGTGAGTGCGCTTTAACATTGCAATTAAACCGAGGTCGAATATAGTTAAATTAGTTCGGTATTCATGATTTTCTACATACAATTCAACGGATTAATTTGGTTAAATCTTTGATAATAACCGTAAATTGCGGTGAAATTGGCCGGCAAGAACGTATCGTCACGGTCTGTTACGCCGAACGATCCTAATTCCGTTACAGTGTCGAATAACGTGCCGCCGCAATCGAGATTCCCTATAGTGGACCTGGAACCGGGTACCAAATACGAGCTCCGTGTCAGCGCGTACAACAACGCGGGATCCACGCAGGCCGAATACCTGTTCAGCACGCTGCCGCAGACCGGCAGTAATCGAATACACGACGAGCATTCACCGGAAATCGAGGAGACCTCGCTGTTTTTCGACGCCCACGTACTGGCGCCCAGCGTGATATCGCTTCTCGCAGTGTTCCTCGCAGTGGCTGGCGTTTGTTTCTGCTTGAAAACACGTAAGTCCATTTTCACGGAAATATTTCACGCGCCGCGATTTCCCGGAGCTTGGTCGAGGTTCATCTCCACGCTGCGTTCTATTGTATTTAGAAAGAATGTGAATAGAAAATTCATAGCGCAGTGCTACTATAAATGTTTCATTTAGTGGTCATTCAAATAATAGATTGACTCTATAACTTTGCATCGGGCTGATGCATATAATTAAAGTCTGACGAGCACACACACTTCGTCATATTATACAAACAATATCCTCGCGTCAAACAAAGAACCGTCGAATCGCAGTTCAATTAATGATTCTAGTTATGCAAACGTGTAGATATTTAATTGTATAACCGGAGGCGTGCAGGAATCCAGGATATCGTGGCGTTCGAATTCGTTTGTACACATAATCAGATACAGTTCGGTTTTCGTACGCGCATCATAGAATCGTCGACGTCCTACGCGATTGCATGCAATTTAGATGGTCTATGAAAGTTAACTCGCCGGAAACTGGTCTGGAGTCGATCAAAGTATAATAGTTCACCGGTCAAAGGATCTGGTGTCTAAATTGATAGAGCCAGACGTCTCGAGTGTAGCCGGTCGATCGATCGTCGAAGGAAATTCGAAGGACGCGGATCGAATGTCGGCGGTGGCAATTTGCATCGAGCCAGAAGGGTGTGCTGGCGCCGCACTCGTGCCACTCGTCGTTATTGAGTAGCTAAACGTCGCAGGATTGTGCTCCAATTACCATGTCCACCTTTGAGGGTCGGCCAGCCGCAAGATATCGGGCGAAAATTGATTCCCCCTTCTCGTTTTCTCTTCCTTCTTTTTTTTTTTTTTTTATTCCTCCCTCGCACTTTCCCGGCGACCCTCGCGCCTTTATTCGACCGACCACTTACCGCCGCAATGTCAACATCACCGGCTCGGTATATCCGCTCGGAGCAATTCGATTAATTAAAAGCCTGGCGAAACGAGGCTGCCGGGCGCGCTTCATGCAATTATACCTGGCGTTGTTGATGCTAACACGGCACGAACGTTCAACTGGCACGCGCGGAACGACCGGCAAATATTTATGCGTCCACGACGGATTCGCATGCGACCGCGGCTCGTTCCGAAACGTATATTTCGGCAGGCGTATCGCGTCGACTAATTCAATCCCATTCTTCCCCATAGCGTAGTAATTAACATTTTTACCCGGGTTTAGTTATGCCCGAGATGTAATTAGAAGTTTAACCCAGCTCCTTTGTTCGCGGAAACTTTGGCGGATCGCCAAATAGCGTCGAAACCGTTCTAAGACTGCGCTAATCGATTTTTCAAACAAACGTTCGATTCTACCGTTTAGACGAACGTAATTTAAATTGAAAATGGCCCCGTTAATTGGTAAAGAAACGAAGCGTTCGGTCTCTGACGGCGACTCGCGTCCACGAGTTAATTACTGTGATCGCAGACGCGGAACGGTCAGGTCGGGCGAACGACCCGAATTCGCAAACGCAGGCCGCGCTGGAGAACAAGCATAATATGGAGCAGAGGGAACAGTACTATGCGACCGTGAGGAAACCAGGCCAGCAGTCGCCCTGTCGCGAGGTGAGCGCGCTGGAAAGAATACCCGAATATTCCGAAGACATTTATCCGTACGCCACCTTCAATCTGCCCGAGCAGGAAAACCTGTCGGCGAACCCGATGCGACAGGCGTTCTACTACGAACGCAGCGAAACCATGCTGCAAGGCAATCAGGTACGTTAATCACAAACGGTCGTCGATAATTGGAAATCATTTCTTGATACGCGCTACCAATTCTTTGTTAAAAATGAACGGTCTCCCTTTATATCGATTCGATTCTGTCTCTGAAATGTATCTTCATCGAGAGGCCGAACGATATATCTGTGTGAAAGAGATCAAGCCGATGATGTATTGCTTGTATACACATAGCTATATCCCACGAGATCAAAGTAACGTCGGTACGACGTAAGGCGACTTCCGTTGATGTATCGAGCTTAGATCGAATCCGGTTAAGGTTTTCCCTGCAAGTCTCTTCCCTTTCCCTGCACAAAAATGTGTTATTATTGTATTCGGGGTTTATGTGCACGTTCCCACCGTCGCTGTTTCACGTTCACGAGAGAAGTATTGGTAGCGATGGAGATTGCGAAGAGGGCACGGGTAACTTTTACACGTTGCAGTGCGACATGGACCAGTACACGAAGGTACGTGGTAGGGCGCGGCGAAAGTCGAAGTCGTTCAAGTCGGAGTCCGAGGAGTACGACACCCTGGGCTCGGACAGCGACACGGAGGTCGGTACCAGCAGCCGCACCGAGTCCTCGAACCACCTGGACGATTCTGGGCCGGCGTCGATAATGACGCGGTCGCCGGGGCCGAACTCCATCGGGCAGAGGGAGCAGCGACTAGCCCTGGTCCCGAGGCCGGTTCATCATAGTAAGTTAGTATTCGATTTTCTGTGTCGACGCCGGCAACAGTCTTAAAACAGCATCCAAGTCGCCACTAACGTCTCACGTTTCTCCCACCAAACGTGTCTCTCGCGTCCACCTTCCAGATGTGCTGTACCACACGCACGAATCAAGTACATCAACCGAGCCGTCACCAACTTCTGAGAGGAAGACCTTTCCCAGGCTCGAAAAGCAAAGGTACTTTCATATCATTCCTGTTACACACTCTTCTGTTAGCCTTACTCTGTATCATCTCTAACGATCATAGAAGACTAGATACTTCAGTCGCTTTACGTCATTTTTAATAGAGGTATAAAGATAGGATGAACGTTAATGCTTCAGGAATCAAGGAGCAACGGCCGACATTGGGATGGACGGCCGCGTGCCGGGTATTCTTCGGCCCGTGCTGAAGCTCTCGGAGTCCGGGATGCATTCGTATTCGAGGGGCGCGTTGTCGAATCATCCTTCGAGGCCCGGCTCCTGCGACCGGTTGGGGAAAGATCCGAGCTCGAGGAAGTCCGTGGAATCGTTGTGCCTGTTGGAGGAGCCCGGTTCGTCGAGGATGCCGAGGAGGGAAGAGGACTGGGGCAGCGAGCTGTCTACGTTGGAACTGAAGCCGCCGACAGGTTTCACGGACGCGCACGAGACCAGCGAGGCCGAGTGCGACATCGACATGAAGCTGAAGCTCCACAGGAAGAGGACGGGTTTTCCTTCTAACTCGCTCTCGAAATCGCCTAAGGACTTTACTATCACTGTCTAAGTGTGTTTTAATCAAATATTCGAAACAAATCGCGAGATCGAAACGAAACGAAGATTTAAAAAAAAAAACAACAAAATGTATCGCATAAGGGTACACAGACACGTACACGACCTAACAGGAACACAGACACGTAAGATAATAACGATGCCAAAGCATGATGAGTGTTAATTCAAAAAAGCGAAAAATGTAAAAAAAATGATGATACGCAGAATAAGAAACAGAACGTTTTCCTCGCCGTTGAGATTGTCGGGATCCCCTAACGCTTCTCTGTGGATGGATAACTGTCTTTCCGTGTAACTACCGTCGACGATCCATTTACAATAAAGTGGTATTTTTTTAAAAAAAATAACAAGAAAAACCAGCGATCGTGTCTCGGCGTTTTCTTTCAAGAACCTTCCCCTCTGTAACAAGTCTCGTATCACTTTTCACGTTCCAATTCAGATCGTGAAATCGAGTAAAAGCACAGACGTGTGGATTCAAACGGATTTTAATTCTTCTTTAATTCCAGTAACGTTAAAATGACGATCCGTGGTCATAAACTTGCCGTCAATCAGCTTAATTGCCAACTCTTTATCAGTTTAGCATCAGCCGCGTTTCCGACAGAAATTCGATTCTCGGATAAATTTCGCGATAGAAGTATTACGTTCTGATCGATACACGAAACATGCTTCATATTATCCGAACATTTTTAGAATCATTTCCGAATTTGAATATAAATTGTGAAATCCACGTAAAGTGCCCTGAACTTTTCAAATTAATTAAAACCATTCGCTCGGTACCCTTCACGATTGTGTAATGAGAAACTACGAATTGAACTTCCTACTTGACGCGAGTGTAATCAACTTTCAATGAAGCAGCCAGACGTTTTCGATAGAACTTCTGGCGTCGAGTATCAACAGTAATTGAAATGGACAGCGGAAACTAGAGAAATGAAAATGATGAAGATATAATGAAAAACTCTTTTTTTTCGATAGTAAGAAGTGTATATTACTACAACATGTTCGTGGGACATCGAGATGAGGGACGGGGAGATGGAGTGGGGGTTTCGCTACTTTTCTACACGGCAGATACGTACATAATAAAGAAAAAACACACACATATCAGCTGTGACAATAGTTTGTTCGCGTATCAATACGTGTCGTGTAGCCGCAATCTATTTCTCTTTTTTTTTTTTTTGTTCATCAGGATAGATTACAAGAAAGTTCGTACTTAGAAAAGAATGGAAACTACACTCCCATTCGAATCGTACGCGGGTCAATGCCCGTTCTCTATAAAAGAAAAAAAAAACAGAATGATTATAAAATATGGCAGTCGAACAATGTTTCATTTCGTTGATCTCATTAGATCCTTTCATTAAAGGGGGCCTGGAATGTCTCTTAACGTCACCTATTATGTTTCTCTTTTTGATTTCTCGTTTTTCCTCTTCGTTCGTTCGCATAAAAAATCCGCGTAAACGATATTGGCAGACGGTCGTTGGCAATGTATTCTCATGCGCAATAGTGGAAGAGAAAGAAAAGCTGTGAGCGCGAGCGACGAGGATCATCGCCAAGGAAATCTGAATGAACATCAGTCTGACACTTAACATTGAGTATTACGCAGGTAACTGGTTAACATTTATCTCAGTGTGTTATACATCCATGCTAGCTTAGTACATAATTGGTCAAGATACTGTTACGGTGGAAGGACATATATTCTTGTGCTTCTCCCCCTCAGGAAAACCTGATCGAACAATAGCTTGCACGATCAAAACGAGTCCTCTCTAGATTCGACCGTTCGAACTTCCAATTCTATTAGACTTTTGCAAAATTTTGTACTGTAATTTGGAACGTCGCGCGACAATGTGGTTGTAATCAAATTTCTCAGCAGCTTGATGGAAGTTTTAATTAAACTCAACTAAAAAGGGAGTATGCAAATTCGTTAATACTACCCCATTATTCTCGCGGAGGTATGAAGGGTGCATCGAGGGCTTGAAAGCGCTCGGGGTTGCACGTATGCGGGATTGACTCGTATATACATATACGTGTTAGCCAGTAACACATACATAATTACTAGGAATCTGAATTTAGTCCCTTTAAAATTTGAGAAGATTGTACACGCAGTCGAGTCTGCCTTATATCACTTAATTACATTTATTAACGACGTGTACAAAGGAATGTGGACTGCGTGTACAATGTGAAACATTATGGATACGTATATAAAGAGCTCTCTTATCGTAGGCCTGTGCGAATACTTGCATTCAAATGTTGCGCGTCGATCGACTCGATGCCGCGAAGAAACATGATATTAAAAAAAAAAAGAAAAAAAACAGCACTTTCCACGATTCCTTCGCTTCTTACATTATCCTCGCTCTCGTTGTTCGATCCTCTAACTCTAAACGCTACGAACCGGTTTCCCGATGATATTTTCGTTCTATTAATTCTCTCTAACGATCAAGCGTGTAGACCTCCGACACGTTCATTTACATTTTCTCAATGGCTGCGTCTGCAATCCGTTCATCGCACCATGATTTTTAGTTCTAAAAGTAATCAGACACCGATACGTTTATTGATTATGGGAATTGATTTTAATTCTCGTTCAAAGCATAAAAAATGATGATAAAAATTAAATCAATAATGCCGGAGAACAGAAACTCGTCTCACACGCGTCACACCATCCGGCATACAGCTAGAAACTCTTTGAACATTTTTAATCCAAGATTGTTCCTAGGTTCGTGCCAAGATTCAACACGCATACCCAAAGCAAACGAACAGCCGTAAACGCAGCCACGCGTTTATCACAAATCGCTCATTCGTTGCAACAGTGACGGCATGATTAAAAAAAATTATTGAATGAAAATCGATATAAAATAGCACGTGGGCAACGTCATTTGTCATAGAGTAATGTCAGTTTAATTACTAATACATAACAACACGTTGAAATGTATCACTGCGGCATTGACTGAGTGAAATCTCGTTCCGCATTACAGAGAAACGAATCGAACGAATGGGAACGACGTCGTAAGAACGGAAACGGAACAAGGAAAAACGTGTGCGTCGATTACGATTGTGTTATGCTGACTAGAGTCTAAATTATCCTCCTATACACATCTATCTCGTTATTCTCCGAATTGAATTATGTATAATATTTATATTATGTATAAACGACGCGCCGACCGAGTTACACAAATCGATCCACACGCATCCCTTAATTTCGAATGTTACTCTCTCAGCCTCACTCTTTCGTTACACTTAGTATTTATTCATATACGTACACTCAGAGTTTACGGTGCTTATCGTAAAATACAGTACAGATACGCGTTCGAAGTACGACAAGACAGAAGGAAATCTGTTTATCTTCCAAGGTTTAAAGGTTCGGAATGATGTCCACGCGGGCTTGTATATCAGAAGCTATCGCAATTTTCAGTGAACAGCCGCTAGAAGCTGATCCAGTCGGTTCGAAATTCGTTTTACAGTGTGTAGTCTGCATTCATGTTATAAATATCTGGATAGAATATTTATATATTTATATTTGCAGTTTTATAATTTTATATATATATATATCCATATTTATATTTAT